AGAGGAGAGCAGGAGGAGAGGAGGAGGAGAGGAGAGGAGGGGAAGAGAAGAAGAGAGCACTAGGAGAGGAGGAGGAAGACAGGAGGAGGAGAGGAGGAGAGAAGAGGGAGGAGAGGAGAGGGCAGAAGAGAGGAGAGGACAGGAGAGGAGAGGAGAGGAGAGGAGAGGAGAGGACAGGACAGGAGAGGACAGGAGAGGAGAGGTGAGAGAAGAGGACAGAAGAGTGAGAAGAGGAGAGGAGAGGAGAGGGCAGGAAAGGAGAGGAGAGGGCAGGAGAGGAGAGGAGGAGAGAGGACAGGAGAGGTGAAGAGAGGAGAAGTGAGGAGAGGAGAGAAGAGGAGAGAACAGGATGGGAGGGGAGGAGGGGAGAGGAGAGGACAGGAGAGGACAGGAGAAGAGAGGAGAGGAGAGAACAGGAGGGGAGAGGAGAGGGGAGGAGAGGGGAGGACAGGTCAGTTCAGGATAGGAGAGGAAAGGACAGGAGAAGAGAGGGGAGGAGATGTGAGAGGACAGAGGAGAGGAGAGGAGAGAGGACAGGACAGGACAGGAGAGAAGAGGAGAGGACAGGAAAGGAGAGGAGAGGAGAAGGCAGGAGGGGAGAGGAGAGGAGAGGATAGGGCAGGAGAGAACAAGAGAGGACAGGAGAGGAGAGGGGAGGAGAGGGGAGGAGAGGAGAGGAGAGGACAGGAAAGGAGAGGAGAGGAGAAGGCAGGAGGGGAGAGGAGAGGAGAGGAGAGGATAGGGCAGGAGAGGACAAGAGAGGACAGGAGAGGAGAGGGGAGGAGAGGAGAGGAGAGGACAGGAAAGGAGAGGAGAAGAGAAGGCAGGAGAGGAGAGGAGAGGAGAGGACAGGACAGGAGAGGACAAGAGAGGACAGGAGAAGAGTGGGGAGGAGAAGAGTGGAGAGGAGGGAAGAGGAGAGGCCAGCAGAGGGCAGAGAGGACACAAGAGGAGAGGACAGGAGAGGTGTGTCAAAGGCAGGAGAGGAGAGGGTGACACAGCCCGGCGCACTCCTGCCATCCTGCCCTTCCTCGTGCTGGTTGAGCATGTGGAGGGCAGGGGAGCAGCAGGCAGGGGTGGGGTGGGGTGCAGAGCTGCACGCTTCCGTTGGTCAGCCGATGGCTCCCTGGAGGGAGGAGGCCAGAGGAGACAGGTGAGAAGGGAGGTAGCAGACCGAGACGCAGAGGAGCAAGGCCAGGACAAAAGCCAGCCGGGCAGGGGCAGGCGGGGGAGCCGCTAGGCAGACAGCAGTGCACAAGGAATGTCAGTTCTCCCCTGAAACAGGAGAAAGAGGGAAGAAACGGGCTGTGGTGGACAGGCTGGCCATCCCAGCACTCTGGGAGGCTGAGGCAGGAGGATTGCAAGTTCAAGTCTAGCCTGGATCATATAGCGAGACCTTGAGTCAAAAAACAAAGGCAACCCCTGGGGACTCCTCCTGTTTCTGAGGAGATATCCCCCCCCCCCCAGGAGCTATTCCTATTCCCCATTCCTAGTGCCTATTCCTGTTCCCCAATAAACCTTTCCGACTTTTGTTTTTGGTACCATGAATCAAACTCAAGGCCTTGCGCTCTCCAGGCAGCCCCTGTGCCGCTGAGCTGCATCCCAGCCCTACCTTTCCTGCTCTTAAGAAACAAGAAAAGAAAAGAAACAAGGGCTGCAGATGGAGCTCAGTGTGAAGCCCCTGGGTTCAATCCACAGCACCGAGGGGAACGGGGAAAGAGAGACAAAGAGAAAGGGAGAGAGCGCCCCCCACTGTTCCATGGCAGGCATGCACCTGACGTAGCGCACATCCCCTGTGATGCACATGGGCTCAGGGCCCAAGTCTCAACCCACCGGAGAAAGGCAGCGGCACACAGCAGGTGCTCAATACTGGCTACTTTCCTCCCCAGGAAAGAGCGCGGGGCGGAGAGGAGAAGGAAGAGGAAATGAGGCCGTGTGCAGGGCACACAGACGGCACACGGGAAATGCAGGTGATCGGAAGAGTAGGGGAGAGGAGGGCGACAGGCAAACATGTTGCGTGGGGGCTGAGGTAGGGCTGAGAGGTGAGGGAGGAGAGACAGGGCCAGGTTGGCAAAGGAGAGTCTGCAGAGGAGGGGCGGTGGAGGCAGACTGCGGTGTATACAGCAGGCACTCAATAAATGCAGCACTCAGAATAGGCAGAGAAACTGGCAGGGCAGAAGGGTGGAGAGCTGGTGAGGCTAGAGGAAAGCAGCCGGGCTGTTAGCTGCCTAGCATCCAGTAGGTGCTTCATAATTGCTTGTTTTTTTGTCCCACGAAACAGTAGCTGGAGCTGAAAGGAGAGCTCTGGAGTGCGGGAACGGGAATGGGGTGGGGGGGACGCGAGTGTGGAGAGACAGCCTGGCACACCACTGGTGCTCCTAAGCGCCCGTTTCCTTCTCCGGCTGAAAGAGGCGGAGGCCGTGATCAGCGGAGAAGGGAGGGGCCGGGCGGGGCGCCCCGTGCGAAGCACCCATACACAGTAGGCGCTCAGAGCTGTCCCCGCAGAGCGGAAGCCAGAGAGGACAGGAAGGGCCTGCGGCGGTGAGCGAGGGTGCGGGCTCCGAATCCAGCACGCAGCAGGTGCTCAGCGGATGCCCACTTCCTCGCCAGCAGGGCTGGGCAGTCCCGGGGAGGAGGAAGGACTCGGGCCCGGAAGGACAGGAGGCAGCAGGGACAGCCAGCTCGCAGGGAAACCGGCCGTCAAACGCCCAGGCCTGCCACGGGCAGGCGGCCGGGAGCAGAGGCGGGGGCGCAGCGGGGGCCCAGGCGCCCACAGCAGGTGACAAGGACATGTGTGCGCCTGCTGGTGGGCAGGACGGGACAGGACGAGGGCGCTGGCCAGGTCCTGCTGCCTGGGGGAGCCACAGGGCCACTGTCCCGCCTGGCACCGCTGCCAGAGTGGAGGAGCTGCGGCCGCTGTCCCTGAGGCATTTGGGCCTCGGGAGGGGCCGCTGACCTCCGTGTCCCTGTCACCTGCCGCGCCCCTCTGAGTTCACACCCATGGCTGCTGCTCCCTGTCATCCGTCCCCGCGCCAGTCCCTTCCGCATCCACCTGTCCTGCTCTAGAGGGAAGGGGGCCAGGTCCCAGCCCACCCCCGCGGACGGCAGAAAGACAGGAAGGAAAGACAGGCGGAGGGCGACAGATGAGGACAGAACCTGCTTTATTCAGCCGCGCGCAGAGCCGCACGGCGCTCCCCTGGGAGCTGAGAGGGGGTCAGAGAGGGAGACGGAGGGGGTGGGCAGAGTTGACGGAGAGAGATGGGCGGACAGAGACGCAGAGGGAAGCAAGGATACGGAGAGGGCCAGCGGGAGAGAGGGCAGAGAGAGCCGGAGAGACAGGGACAAAGGGAGGTGCCCGGCGGGAGATGGGCAGGCAGAGCGGGAGGGCGAGGGTACAGCGCAGGTCGGCGGGTGGAGACGGCCAGGTCGGCCAGGGAGAGAAACTGAGACAGCGAGGAGACAGAGACAGGCAGAGGCAGAGAGGCAGGCGAGGACGCGGAGCCGCGGCTGAGAAAGCCGGGTAGGGGTAGGAAGGGGAGGCGGAGACAGGAGGAGCGGGCGGGAGGTCGGAGCGCCCCTCTCACCTGGCGTTGGTGGCGGCTGCACCCCGCACCCAGCCCTGAGATTTAAGGGGCTCCAGGCCCGCCCCCGCATCTGGCCCGACCCCTTGGCCGCTAAATCGGGCCTCAGCTGTCACAACAGCTGCCCCCCCCCCCCCCCCCCCGTGACACACCCCGGGCGGGACAGCGGGCAGCGCCTCCGGACCTTATTTGGCCAGGAAGCACCTGGGAAGCTGCGGCGCTGCCACTGAGGCAGGAATAGAAACCCCTGGCCCCTCCAGCTGTCTGCCATGGGGGGACGGGCGACAGGCGGGGTGGAGGCGGGGTGCGGGGAGAGGAGGTGCGAGTGAAGGTGTCCAGACACGGCCGGGGCGCCCTCGGGGTCGGCCCTTTCTCTTCACTGGCCACTGCCCTTTGACCCCACCCAACCCCAGCGTGGCCCCCGCTGTGTGGTGCGGGTGGGCATGGGGCGAGGCCCTGGCACCCTGGCCCTGGGTTCCACTGTGCCCTCTACCTCCTCCCCCTGGCTCCCCTCCCTGGACTGTGCATCCTGAGCCCCTGAACCTGGGTCTCCACCCCCTCGCGTGGCTGGCTGGCCCGGCCCAGGGAGCCCCGCATCTCCCCAAGCCCACTTCCTTCACAGCCCCGGCCCGGCCGGCCCAGCCCTCACCTCCTCTCCCTCCCGAGTGTCCTGGGCCACGGGTGCTCTTCCTGCTCCCCCCTCCCCGCTATCCTTGCCTCGGTGGCCCTGTCTGCTTCGTGTCACCGCCGGCGGGCTCTTATCACCTCCTCAAACAACTGCGGGCGGTCTGGGCACCCACCCCTCCCACTCCATCTCACTTATTTTTGGCCGTGCCGGGGAGGGAACCCAGGGCTATGCAATGTCCCCTCTGAGCCACGTCCCCGTCCATCCTCCCCGGCTCTGAGGCCCCTCAGTCTTGCACAGCTGATCTGCTCCCTGACCCTGTCCCTTGATTTTCCCATGCACCCTGTGGGACCCCCTCTGACACGCACACCATGGGGCAGGGAGCCCTGGTGTCCTCCTGGCCCCCAGCCAGGAGCAGCGTGACCACTGACTGGTGCCCAGCGCACAGGTTGGGATCCTGCCCGCTGTGGGAGTCACTTTACCCTTTGTCCCGCCCGCCTCTGGCCTCGGAGGGGCTGTTCTCCAGCCTGGGGCACTTTTCCTGGCGCCCCTGGGCTGCGCCTGCCTCCTCCTGGGAGGCCCACGCCCACACTGGCGCAGTGCGGAGTCACCACATGCTTGGTGGCTTACGCAGCACACAGGCTGTCACGCCTGTAGAGGCGGGGGCTACCGCCCTCTGCTGAAGGGCCCAGGCACTGTGCCCCGGAGCCACCCCCGGCTCACTGTTGGCTTGATCCCTGGGCTCTGGGATCCTAGGACAGCTCTGGCCCAAGCTCGGCCTGCCTCGAAGCCGAGAGCCGAGGAACAAAGCCTCCTCTCTGCCTTTTTTTTTTTTTTGGGTACTGAGGACAGAACCCAGGGCCTATGCACTTTGCACTTTGCCCTACATCCCCAGCCTTTTAAATTTTGAGACAATCTCATGAAGGCTCTGAATGGCCTAGACTGAGCTAGAACTCACGATCCTCCTGTCTCAGCCTCCTAGAGTGATGGGAGGACAGGCATGCGCCACCACCAGCTTCTGCTTGGCTCTCACCCCTGCTGAACACCCGCAGCCACAGCGGGTCTTTTCTACCTGTTCTTCGGCTCCCTGATGGAGGGGCCCGCAGGCGTCAGGCAGACGCAAGCCAAGCTGGAGCAGATCAGCAGATTTATTGAGGCAGCAGCGGCATGGGGAGTGGGGAACATGGGGAGGGCCCGGCCTTCCCGGGGCTGGGATGCACAGGCCCTTCCCCGGCACTTGAAGTCAGGCTGGCCGTGGTCGCAAGTGCTGCGCCAGGCAGCACTGAGTCCCTGCAGTCGGCCGGTCAGTCACTCTGCAGCCAGCAGCCCTTCTCCTCCACCTCCTTGGTCACCACCAGCAGCACCTCGCATAGCCCTTGGGCCAGGGCAGCCGCCAGGAAAGCCCTGGGTGGAGAAACGGCGACACTGAGGCCCTGCCAGCCTCCCGAGTCCCTCTGCCAGGGTGGGGCATGAGGGTCAGGCTCCAGCGCCCAGGCCGCATCCTGTCACTCGCTCCCCGCTCACCTGACGCCATCCTCGTCCCCTAGGGCCTCCGGTGCCCGCAGCTTGGAGTCGAGGTTGTAGTAGATGCCGTCCACCTGGCGCAGGGCCACCCAGTGCCGCCGGCGCAGTGGCAGGGACAGCAGCCCCAGTGACACAGGCGAAGGCAAGTTCAGGATCAGCCCCAGCACTTGGGGCAGGGCCAGCTGGGACAGGGGCCTGGGGGGGCGCAGGGGCAGGCCAGATGTCACTGACCACGGGGCCTCCCACCCGGCAGCTCCCTCCTCCTCCTCCCCACCCTCCTATCAGGGCTCCCAGCCGCCAGGCAACCTCCTGCCTGCTAATCTGCCCACTGCCATTATCACACGGCCTGCCATCCACCTGCACCTCCTCAACCACCAAACCAGCATCCACCAACCATCTGCCCACCTCCTGCTCGCCCCCGCCGTCACCCATGACGGACACGGCCAGCACCAGCCAGCCCTCTACCCTGCGGCCTATCTGCTCTTCACCCCACGCAGCAGCACCCACCACCCTGTTACAGTAACGTGAGACATCTGCCCCCTGCCAATCACCCGTCTTGTATTCATTCAACACCCGTCCACTCATAGCCCCATCCCCAACACCGCTGACCTCCTGGTCGCCCTCCTCTTAGATGCCCATGGCCACAATTATCCCGCCCACCACCCACTGACTCAACAGGACCGTCCCGTGGCCCTGCTGGTCCTTTCACCCACCCCCGCCATCGTGCCGGCCTGTGGGCCACACAGCCCTTCCCGTACCCCCCGGTCCCTCACTGACTGGTGTGGCCTTGCCCCTGCCTCCTGGGTGGCCCCAGTGTGGGCCCCAGATGCCAGCTCCAGGTCCTACCTTCTCCTGTCCCACCACACGGCGGCCAGGCCCAGTCCCTGCAGGGCCGCCATGATTACGTTGACGTCATAGTTGCCGGTACCCAGAAGGCTGCGGTGGGGGTTCAGCCGGGAGTCTGGGGCCAGCCTGGGAGAGCGGGTGACAAGAGCCTGAGCTGGGGCCCTGAAGAGGCCTCGCCCTTCCGCGTGGCAGGTTGTTCCCTCTCTACAGCCAGTACTGCAGTCCTGTCCCGACCCCACGCCCGTCCCCGGGGTCCCTGTCAGGCTTTGCTCTTCTTCCCTCTGCCTGGATCCCCCGAGCCCCCGTCCTCCTGAGCTGCCCGTCCCTCCTCCTCTCACACCACCCCTGGCTTCCCGGGGCCCCTGGACCGAGTCTCCAGCCCTCAGCCCTTCTCGTCACAAGCAGTCCCTTCCGCTGTCCCCTCAGATGCACCTCCTCTGAGGGGGTCTGCTGACCTCCAGGCTGGGCGTGGGGTTCTGTCTGGGCTCCCCCAGTGAGCTGAACCACCGCCACGACAACAATGTCCACAGCACCGTTCGTGTGCGTGGTGCTGGGGCCTGGGCCCAGGGCCTTGGGCATTCCTGCCAAGCGCTCTCCCACGGACCCACACTCCTAGCCTTGTAACTTTTATTTTCAGACAGGGCCTTGCTAAGTGGCCCAGGTGGGCTTTGAACATGTGCTCCTCCTGCCTCAGCTTCTGTAGTTGCTGGGATGACAGGGGTGTGTCCCTGCGCCTGGCATCACTGATTTAACACCGTTTGCTCCCACTGGAGCCGGCAGTGCCCATCCCCAGCCCACAGCTCCCCCTGGCGCCCTACTCCCCCAGGACAGGGTCCCACCTCCTCCAACTGGCATTCGCTGCTCCGTGGTTTCAGCAGTGGCCCTTCCCCGCCACCTGTCCCCAGCCATGCCCTGCATTCCTGCGTCCTGGTCTTTCCTCCAGCTCTCTGGGCCCACCCTGAGGCCGCAAGTCTCCCCGGGCCTCCTGCTCCTGCTCCTGCTTCTGCTTGGAACAACTGGACCTTTGTTCCCTGACCAGGCCCTGGGAGGGCAGGGAGGGGGAAGGGAAAGCTTGAGCCTTATTTTTCTGTTTCCCTCGCCTCCTCCCTCGGGCAGGGCTCCTATCTGACTCAGCTCTGGGCTTGGCATGAGACTCCACCGACCCCTGTTTTGAATGAGAAGAGATGAATAAATTCTATAATAATCAGCCCGAGGGTTATTAGGGAGATGCAGGAGGCTGGGAGCAAGGGAGGCTGTAGGAAGATGCATCTGGGAATCTGGGGGGACTGGCTGGACTGAGCCTGAGGCCAGAGGCTGGGGGAAGGTGCAGGTAGCAGAGAGCCAGGCGGAGAGGAGAGGCCAAGGCAGAGGGATTATGAAGAAGTGCTGTTTGAAGTTGTGAGGAACATCCAGGCTACCGAGGGAGGAAGGCACGGCGGGAGTAAGAAGAGGCAGAGTAAAGGCCTGGGGGCCTCATGCGGGGGGGTCGCTTAGGGGCTGGAGAGAAGTCTGGTTTGAGTGGAGCAGTGAGAGATAAAGCTGCAGAGGAGGGCACCAGCCGAGAGCACAGCACAAGGGCATCGGGCACCAGGCTGAGGGGCCCAGGACTTTCCCTAGGGGGGCTAGGGAGCCATAGAGGGCCGAGAGCAGGCGAGGATTAGGGTTAGGGTTATGCACTGTCTCCACGTGTAGCCGCGGGTTGCAGCTCAGGGGCGTGCAGGGGCAGGACCCGGCCTCGCTGTGAGTCCTAGCTGGGAGGCTTGGCCTGTCTGAGCCCTGCTTCTCCAGGGGTCAGGGAGGGTGACAGTCACCTCTTGCAGATCTCATCGGCAGCCTCCTGGCTAAAGAGCTGCTGCTGCAGGACGTTGTTGAGGGCGTGGACGGCACACAGCTCCAGGCGCTGCCGCTCGTGGTACACGGAGGGTGGGCTCGGCCGTGCTCCCGGGGCCTGGGACATGCTGCCCTCCGCTCCTGCTGGGGCTGAGGAGCGGGAGAAGGTGCTCAGGGCCTCGGGATCTAGAGGTGTGAGGTCCAACCTGCGAGGAGGCCCCTCGGCACCAACATTAAGGTGTGGGCTGGGGGCAGCCTCTGAGGACACTGGGCCCCTGACCCTGCTCCTTGGGCTGGCTCAGGGCAACACAATGCACCTCCATCCCCTATTCCTAGAGAAAAAGGTGTCTTCTCCTTTCGCGACAGAGAAACCCCTCCGGTTTCTAAGTAAAAGGGTGCCTATCCCTGTCACCTAGCAACAGAAGACCGTCCTCTCCCATCCCTAGGTAACAGGATCACCAGTTTCCTAGCAACAGAGAACATCCCCCCCCCTTTCTGGGTAACCAAGTCCCTCCTCTGATTACCTAGCAATAGAGGACTCCTCCTCTCCTGTCTCTAGGTAACAAGGTCTCTTCTGGTCGCCTAGAAACAGAAGACTCCCCTTCCCCGGTCATTAAAGAACTATCCTCTTCTCCCCTGGTAACAGAGCCCCCTCCCCAGTCACTAAGCAACAGTGCCTCCTCTTCCTATCACCTGGCAACCAGGCCTCCTCCCCGGGCGCCAAGGGCTCGACCCCCCTCCCGACCCGTACCCCAACCACGGCCCTCGCCCTTTGCCTGGCAACGCCCCTCACCCCGCCTGCCTCTCCGCTCCCCTGAGCCGGGGGCTTCCGCATCCCCCTGGGCGGTGGCTCCGGGCTCCGAGTGTGGGGCGGGCAACACCGCGCTGACTGGGCTGGCAGGACGGACTACAGGTCCCGGCGACCCCCGCACGCCGGACTACGACTCCCGACGGCCGCCGCAGGACTCTTGTGCTCTTGACCGTCCAGGCCGCCTGGCCCGGAAGTGTGCTGTCGCGGCTAAAAAATGCAGGACTACAACTTCCTCCCGTCCCCGCTGCAAACTCCGGAAATGAGTCTCGGAAATCCAATCCCGCGGGCCGCCACGCCCACTGCGACCCAGAGGATTCTGGGAGATGTAGTTAGCTCTCGCGCCCGCTTCCAGGAGCGGTGTTGCCCGCCCACTGTGATGGCGTCATGTGCTGTCCAAGGCGCTGCGTGACGTCACAGAGAAAAACAAGGAACCACAGGGGCCACACGGTGTGGGGGAAGAGCCTATGAGCTTTACTGAGACAGGAGACAGCTCTTGGAAAGTGCGGCCAGGCCGGGAGTGGGCGGCGGCGGCAGGTCCTCCCGGGTGGAGGCGGCGTCTCAGCAGAGATGGATCCCTGGCCTGGAGGCTAGCTCGCAGCAGCCTGCGGGGGAGAGACCGGAATGAAAGACCCAGACGGAGGAAAGAGAGCAATGGGGCAGACCAGCGAGGGTGGACGGGACCCAGAGAGCGAGCTAGACCTTGAGGGAAGGGACGTGGACAGAGACACAGAAAGAGTCAGGTGGTAGAGTGCGAAGGTTCAAGACATCAGGAATAAAGGTCGGCAGAGACGGATTCGAGCTTGAGACCCCGGCCCCGCGGAGCGCAACAGCCCAGGGCCCAGGAGAGGGGCCCCGGCCCCGGCAGGGCAGCCGCACCCAGGAGGCTGCGCCAGAAGGCGGCGACGGTGGCGGAGCCGGTGACAGCGCCGGGCTCTGCGGGGTTCTCCCGGTGGGTGTGCACAGCGAAGTTCCGGCCCGTGGGCCCCGGCGGACCTCTCAGCTCCACGTCCACCACGTGCATGTCCGCGAGGCTGCGGGAAGCAGGGGTGAGGGGCTGGCCTGACCCGGCCCGACCCCAGCTCCGCTCTGCTCACCTGAGATCGGCCACAAGCACCCCGATCACGTTGTCAAAGCCTAGGCTGGGCGCCGCCAGGGCAGCGGCTGCCATGGTGTTGGAGTTTCGAGGAGCGAAGGGGCAGAGCCCGCGGACAGGGCCCTCGTAGAGCACGGTGCGTGAGCCGGTGCTGCGCGCCGTAGCTAGGGGTCCCTCTAGCCGGAAGCCGTCCGGGTGTGTGGCCATGGTGACTCGCAGGCTCTGAAAGCAAGAGCTGGTCAGGGCGACTGGGAGCTTTTCAGGCTCCATCTGGTTTGGGGGAGCCCAGTGTGTCCTCACCTGGAGACCCCTGGCTGCATCCAATCTCGAGATGTCCTCAGTGCCCCACAGGGCTCCCCGGGCCACAAATACGGCGTGGCCCCAGCGGTGGGAGGCGTCCAGGAGCTGCTGCTCTGTGGTCTGGTCAGCCAGGGCTGATGGGGACCCCACCTGAGTGCGTGAAGGGAGGGAGGTTGGGGCAGGAGATAGACTGCTGCTTAGGGTGGAGCAGACCAAGGCAGGGGGGCTGGAGTCAGGGTTATGGGTCGAGGGGGGCTCACCAGAAGGTTGGCGTAGCGCAGGATGTGTGCCCCAGATTCGTGGATTATTTTGGGGTGGGCCACTTCTACCACAAGGTCAGGGTGCCTGGGAGAGGGGAGAGGGGAGAGGGCCTGGGAGGGGAGTTAGGCCTCCCCTCCCCCAGGCTTCCCCAGAGTGTGGGAGCCCTATCATTCCTCACCCCAGCTGGGCACTTTACATTTGGGTGACACAAGGCATGGAGAGGATCTGTCTGCTACCGCACGGCAGCTCAGGGAGGCTGGGGAAGGAAGCCCCACTCACACAGTATGGCCACTGACCTTTCCCCAAGGGCGGCGAGGTTGTGGAGCTGCAGGGCTGGGGGCACACGCCCTGCCATGCGGGCCGGGTCGCGGTTCCAGACAAAAACAAGCTCAAGCCCCAGTTCAGGTCCCTGAGCCAGGAGGTGGGAGACCAGGGACTGTCCTAGGGTGAGGGACAGGAGCGGGCTGGAGAACCAGAGGGGGTTAGAGACCCAGAGAGGGAGACAGTAGGCAGGGACCAGAGGCAACACAGATCCAGAGCGCGGGACAGAGAGCCAGGGGGAGGCTCGGAGGCAGGAAACAGACCAGAGAGGAGGGGGGACGGGGTGGGGGGATGGGCCCAGAGGAGGGGACAGAGACCCAGAGAAAAGGACAGGGATCCAAGAGAGCGAGACAGATCCAGAAAGAGGGGGACAGAGACGAGGGAGGGGCATAAACCAGAGAAGCGAACAGGGACCCAGAGGGAGAGGCCAGGGATGGGGTGGGCCGGCTGATGGCCGAGGCCTGGGCAGGCGACACAGACAAATGAAAGGCTCTGCAGAGCTGAGCTTCTAGGACTTGGGTTGGGGGCCTGGGCTTTGTAAGGGACTCACCGAGGCGGCCGTAGCCCACCACCCCCACCTTCTGCGGGACCCCTTTGGGGGCCATGCCCTTGGGTCTGATGGTCTGCAGCCCAGCCTCCCTGGCAGCTCACTGCCCCCTGTGCAGGCTGGGTAGCCGCTGATCTTTGGACGTTTGACCTTTGGGCCTGCCTGAACCTCCCCTGTGTCCACAGCCGCCACAGGAGGCAGTGGGTTTGCAGAATGTGGCGCGAGGGTGCCCTTGGGCAGGGCCGTGGCGACTTGGGCCGGCTCTGTGTGGCCCCTGCCTTCCCTGCCGTTCCTTCCTCTGCAGCCCGCACTGCTCCACGCCTTCCTGCTGATGTGGAAAATTCCCTCTGCAGTCCCCCGCCCCCTTTTCTGGCCGGTCAGGTTGTCATGGAAACTGTATCTTGCTTAGTGTGAGGAGAGGAGCCGGTGACAGGGACTGTGGGCCCTCAGCCGTCCCCTTGTTCCCAGGTCCCCAGCACCTCCTCGCCCCTGTTTTCCCCAGGTGGCCTGGGGCGAAGGCCTCGCCCTGGTCCTGTCCATGTCTACCCAAGGCAGCTGTGCCAGCTCTCCGTGGTTCAAGGCCCCCCACGCCATGGAGGGGGTGCTCTTTGCACCCTTCAGCCCCAGCTAGAACCCCCTTCCTCGGGTCTGATCGTCCTTCAGTTCACCTTGACTCTCCACTCTTCACCCCCACCCCCGCAGCCACTGGTGCGCCCACCTGGTACCCTTGCTCTCCCTCCATCCTGCCCCCCACATCCCGCCCCGGAGAGGGGCAGTGCAGCCTGAGGAGACCCGCGGTGCTCCCAGGAGGAGCCGGCCACCGCACTGGCGGGCCTGGCACAGAGATGGCGGAGCTGCAGTGCCCGGCTCCCTGCCCCCGCTGCCACCTGGTACCGCTGCAGTGTTGCCATGGCAACCAGGATCTGCGCTGCCTGGGCCAAGCAGGATGGGGCGGGCACGGATGCAAGTCCCTTGATGGGCAGGCAGAGAGGGGACAGACCAGTAGACAGGACTTGGGACAGGGGCGGTGCTGTGCTGAGCTTGTAAGGAAAGAATTCTGACTGCTGGGGGCAGATAAAGTGCTGGGGGTGAAGAGACGGACAGGAAAGAGGGCGCACCCAGGGCAAGGTAGTGGCCTCTACCAGAGCCCCGAGCATCTCCTACAGTGCCCAGGGCGGCCTTCTGATACCTGCACAGCTCACAATGACAGCAGGGGGTAGCTCCCTGAGGCTGAACCCTGGGGAATTGGGGCCTCAGCCACACCCCACACACACTGTCCCCTGGGCTTTGCTCCCTCTGGGGGATCCCCAGGGCTCTGTCCCGTCCTGCCCCATCCCCACTTTGTTTCCCAGAAGCCTTCAGTGCACCTGCAGCGGGACAGGTGCGGTGGTTGGGTCGGGCCCTGGGCTGGGCTGTGTCACCCAGAAAGCGCATCTGGAAGCCCTGGCCTCCACACCCACGTGTGGCCTGCAGTGGCAGCCGGTGTCTGCAGGTGGCTCAGGGCCACAGGAGGCTGCGCTGGAGGGGGTGCCTCATAGTCTACCGCGACGGTGGCTCTAGGCAGAGAGGAAGTTGGACACATGCTCACAGAGGGACGTGACCTGCAGGCACAGGGAGGCTGCCCGGAGGAAGGACCCTTCCCCTCGAGACTTTGGAGGGGGCATGACCTTGTGTCACCTTGGTCTTGGACCTGCTGCATCCAGAACGGTGGCAGTACATTCTCTCATTCTGGTACTTGGGGCCTCTCTGGGTTCTCTGCTGTGATGTGTGGGGTGATGATGTGTGTGTGGGGGGGCAAGAGTGCAAGCCTCGACCTAGACCCTGGGGTGAAAGAGGCGGAGCCTCGAGGTGGAGGGGGCGGGGCCTAAGCCCAGCGGGCGGTGCCGCTGGGCAGGGCATGTGAGGCTTTGGTCTTTTGGCTTCCGCCCTCTCATTCTGTCCCCACCCGCAAACACTTTGTTTTCTGTCTCCTCTCTGCTTTCAGGACCCCCTCAAAAATAAATTTTTTTTTTTTTTTTTTACTTTTTCGTGTTTTTTTTTTAAAGTAATTACAGAGCAGGTAGTCGTTGACGCAAACCTCCCTTCAGTATCAAAAGAGTCTGTGGGGAAGGGGAGCCGAGCGCGGGGGTCGCCGGCACCCCAGCCGCAGGTCAGGGCGGGAGTGGAGCGCGCGGCGCGGGGGACAGCCGGGGTCAGGGAGCTCCGGCGACGACGCGCGTGTCTGTCTCTCGGGTTTCCAGGGTGGAGGGCTTGGGAGGGAGGGACAGGCGTCAAACTGCAAAAAATGAACCGTAAAAGGAGGGCTGTTGGGTGTGAGGGGAAAGGGCACCCCTCAAAAAAGCTCCTCTCTCCCCTGGAAGGCGGCGGGCGAATGGCCAGGGGGGTCAGTGCGTCGGGAGGGCGCGCGGGAGGCACGGGGCGCGGCCGCTGCTCCCGGGTCCCGCGTCCCCCCGGGTCCGGGCGCGCGCACGGGCGCGCCGGGACCAGAGTCACCGCCGGGAGCGCGTTCTGTCCCCGCGGGGCCCCTGCCCGCGCGCACCCGCCGGGCTCAGATCTGCGTCTCTTGCACGTTCTCCTTGGAGCCGCTCTTGAAGAGCAGAGGTTCGTGGATGGAGTTGAGGCCGGCCGGGCCTTTGCCCCCGCAGCCCCCGCCGCCCGCCGCGCCGCCGTAGTGCGCCTTGAAGGCGGCCGCCACGTAGTGGTGGTGGTTGAGGTGGTCGCGCTCGAGGGCCGGCAGCGCCAGGTGGCTGTCACCACCCACGCCCGCGCCTCCGGCCACGGCGGCCGCG